TTTTTTGTATTTTTAGTAGAGACGGGGTTTCACCATGTTGGCCAGTCTCAAACTCCTGACCTCAGGTTATGGGCCGAGGCAGGTGGTCTCGGCCTCCCAAAGTGCTAGGATTACAGGGTTGAGCCATTGTGCCCCGCCTGCAAAAAATCTTTTACAAAAGTAAATAAACACTAGGAGGCGGTAGAGCATTGTGGTGAAGAATGTGGGTTCTGCAACCTGACTGCCTAGTTTAAAATCCTGCCTCGTCCAGGCTCGGTGCTGTAATCCCAGCTCTTTGGGAGTCTGAGGTGGAAAGATCACTTGAGCCCAGGAGTTCAAGACCAGTCTATGCAACATAGCAAAACCCCATCTCTACAAAAAATACAAAAATTAGCTGGGCATGCCTGGGTATGGGTGCATGCCTAATGTCCCAGCTGCTCAGGAGGCTGAGGTGGGAAGATCACTTGAGCCCAGGAGGTGGTGCTTGCAGGGAGCAGAGATCATGCCACTGCACTCCAGCCTGGGTGACAGAAAGACCCTGTCACAAAAAAAAAAAAAAAAAAAAAAAAATTCCTGCCTCAACCACTTATTTATTTATTCACTGTAAAAGCAATGGAAGCTTTCTCTGCCTTGGATTCTTTTCTATAAAAAGGTGGTAATAATAGTATCCACCTAATTTGATTGTTAGAATTAAAAGAGATGGCAGGCCGGGCATGGTGACTCATGCCTGTAATCCAAGCACTTTGTGAGGCCAAGGCAGGTGGATCACTTGAGGTCAGGAGTTTGAGACCAGCCTGGCCAACATGGTGAACCCCCATCTCTGCTAAAAATGCATAAATTAGCCAAGCGTGGTGGTGCGCGCCTGCAGTCCCAGCTACCCTGGAGGCTGAGGCAGGAGAATCACTTGAACCTGGGAGATGGAGGTTGCAATGAGCTGAGATTGAGCCACTGCACTGCAGCCTGGGCAACAGAGTGAGACTCTGTCTCAAAAAAAAAAAAAGTAGATGGCATATGGAAAGCACTAGCACAATGTCTGGCACTTAGCGGTGCTGTCACTGTTCTAAGTGACATGCGGTACCCTTGCAGTGCTGTTGTAGGAGGCTTTCTTTCATGGAGAGTAGGCCGTGGCCCAGATCTAGAATGTCATGGAGTAAAAATATATCTGTTTCCATTTCATTTCTAGATTTTTTTTTTTTTTCCCTCCCAGGTACTTCACAGTAGACTGGGCAAGCCTCACACTATGAAACAGAGCAGGTGGGGTGTGTGTGTGTGTGTGTGTATGTGTTTGTGTGTGTGTGTGAGTGAACATACAGGAGTAAGAAAGGCAAGGATTTTGATTTCAGGTCATAAGAAGGTGATAATTTGTCAAGCACATAGTTCACAAAAGAAAAAATCATCTCCATTTATAAACATTGTCACAGGTATGGTACTGTTTATAGTAAATTATTGTTTTATGGAGCATTATGGAACTCTGAATTTATAAGACTTGGTTTTTTAAAGAAAACAAAGAAAATTATACCACTTCTCTTGCATTACTGTGTAAGTACAGATGTATTTATATTAGAATTTGGAAAAAATTCACATAATTCATAATTCACCAAAGGACGTAAGCAGGTGATGGTCCATACCTTTATGCATGGGTGTTCTTGATTGATTAGTATTTATTTATTTCTTATTTTATTTTTTGAGACAGAGTTTTGCTGTCTCACTCAGACTGGAGTGCAGTGGCGTGACCTTAGCTCACTGCAAACTCTGTCTCCCAGGTTCAAGCGATTCTCCTGCCTCGGCCTCCCGAGTAGCTGGGACTACAAGTGCGCACCACCACATCCGGCTAATATTTGTATTTTAAGTAGAGACAGGGTTTCGCCATGTTGGCCAGGCTGGTCTCCAACTCCTGACCTCAAGTGATCCACCCACCTCGGCCTCCCAAAGTGCTGGGATTATAGGTATGAGCCACCACTTCCAGCCAACTGATTACCATTTTTAAAGACAAGGTAGTTGGGGTTATGAAAATCACATGGAAAGTGTAAAGGATGTCAATCAAACATGGAATTACAGGCATGAGCCACCATGCCCAGCAAGTGTTAGTGTATTCTGTGTGTGGCCCAAGACAATTCTTCTTCTTCCAATGTGGCCCAGGGAAACCAAAAGATTGGATATCCCTGACCCCTGATGTATATGTTTACTCCAATTTTGATGGTAAAGATAGAGCTGGCGGCCAGGCACAGTGGCTCACACCTGTAATCTCAGCACTGGGAAGCCAAAGCAGGCCAATTGCTTGAAATCAGGAGTGTGAGACCAGCCTGGGCAACATGGCAAGACTCCATCTCTATGAAAAAATACAAAAATTACCCAGGCATGGTGTCATGTGCCTGTGGTCCCAACTACTTGGGAGGCTGAGGTGGGAGGATCACCTGAGCCTGAGGAGGTAGAGGCTGCAGTGGGCCAAGATTACACTATTGCACTCCAACTTGGGTGACAGAGTGAGACCCAGTCTCAAAAAAAAAAAAAAAAAAAACTATATATATATATATATCCCCATACATATATATACACACACGCCACATATATATATCATGGAGCCATATATGTAGGCATACACATATGTGTGTGTATAACAGATTTGAAGGGCTGGGCGCAGTGGCTCACGCCTGTAATCCCAGCACTTTGGGAGGCCGAGGCGGGGGGATCACCTGAGGTCGGGAGTTTGAGACCAGCCTGACCAACGTGGAGAAACTCCATCTCTACTAAAAATACAAAATTAGCTGGGCATGGTGGCACATGCCTGTAATCCCAGCTACTTGGGAGGCTGAGGCAAGAGAATCGCTTGAACCTGGGAGGCGGAGGTTGCGGTGAGCCGAGATCGCACCATTGCACTCCAGCCTGGGCAACAAGAGCAACATACCATCTCAAAAACGAAAAAAAGAAAAAAAAAGATTTGAGGAAAGACATACAAAGTCACCTTTAAAAAAGGCAGGTCCCCCAGCGGCCCATTTTTTTTTTCCTCCTATCACATTTAAGTCACGTGTATGGGATCATGAAGCAGGTGATAATTTGGGATTTTGTGTGTGTTTCTGAGAGTGAATAGTTCACAGCTGACAAGCATCCAACAGAACCAGTTACACAGGAGATTGAGGAGTGGCTGTCATGGCGTGACAGTGCATGATCTCAAGTTTTCAATCTGAGACCTCCTAAGGAAAAAAGGAAAAAAAAAAAAATGGCAGGCCTCAAGCCAAGACTTGACTTCAAATTGACTGAAGTATATGTATAGAAATAACAGCTCATTGTGGTTGGAGGGTGAGGAGGAGGTTGGTCAGTCATAAAAACATAATTTTTGTAATTTTTTGTAGAGACAGGATTTTACCATATTGCTTAGGCTGGTCTGAGACTCCTGGGCCTAAACAATCCACCTATGTCGGCCTCCCAAAGTGCTAGGATTACAGGCATGAGCCACCATGCCCAGCCTAAATGTATGTTTTAAAGTGTGGTTCTCAGATAGCAATTTTATTTCTCTATTTCCAGAGATTTTTCAGGGCGATTTTATGATTAACTCCATGTACAGCTTAACATGTCAAAAGAACCTGACTTAAATTTTTTTCTTGAAACAGCCTTTAACGTATGTCAAAAATATGATATATTCCTGATCCTTGTGTCCAAGCAGATATAAGTTCTAAATAGGGCAAAGGATCTAACGAATGCTTGATGTCCTCAAATGTGCTATGATTTGCCATCTGTCAAGATGAAAATACACCCATATATATGCCGCTATTTAAAGTATCATAGGCTGGGTGCAGTGGCTCACACCTGTAATCCCAGTACTTTGGAAGGCTGAGGTGGGTGGATCACTTGAGGTCAGGAGTTTGAGAGCAGCCTGGCAAACATGGCAAAACCCCATCTCCACTAAAAATACAAAAATTAGCTGGGTGTGGTGGCGCATGCCTGTAATCCCAGCTACTCAGGAGGCTGAGGCAGGAGAATTGCTTTAACCCAGGAGGCAGAGGTTGCAGTGAGCTGAGATTGTACCACTGCAATCTGGCCTGGGAGACAGAGCAAGAAAGGAAGGGAAGGGAAGGGAAGGGGAGGGGAAGGAAGGAGAGGGAAGGGGGAAAGGGGAGGGGAGGGGGGAGTGCCTCCCAGCTTTGGGAGGCCGAGGTGGGTGGATCACTTGAGGTCAGAAGTTGGAGACCAGCCCGGCCAACATGGTGAAACTCTGTCTCTACTAAAAATACAAAAATTAGCCTGATGTGGTGGTGGGCGCCTGTAATCCCAGCTACTCAGGAGGCTGAGGCAGGAGAATTGCTTGAACCAGGAGGCGGAGGTTGTAGTGAGCCAAGATTGTGCACTGCACTCCAGTCTGGGTGATACAGCAAGACTCCATCACAAAAAGGAAAAATAAATAAAGTATCATAATGGGCTGGGAATGGTGGTTCACGCCTGTAATCCCAGCACTTTGGGAGGCTGTGGTAGGAGTATCACTTGAGGACAGGAGTTAATGCTGTCCTGAAAAGGTAGGCTTGGGAGGGAATTGAAGGAGAGGAAGTTGAAGAGGAAGTACTAGTCCGCACAGCAAGATCCCATCTCTGTGAGAAAAAAAAAAAAAAAAAAGGAGGAGAGAAAATATCCTGTCTCACTCTGTAAGGTCGCTATTTCCTGATGCCAAAAAAAAAAAAAAAAAGAAAAGTATAATAATGGAGAAATTCCAGCACATGAATCAAACAGGATGTTGCAGATTCTAAACATGAATCCAATGTACTGTCAAAACTGTACAAGGATAACTTAGATTTTTTTTTCCTGAAGGCTTCTTTCATTGAATAATTATAGTGAGCATTGTAGATGTGGTAAAAATTATCTGTAAATATGTCTTCTTATAAAAGCAAAAACTGGATATAATGAACCTAAAGCAATTTGTTTAACTTGTAAGATGCTTGTCCAAAAAGTAGCCAATTTGGCTCCACTGTCATTTATAGTTTTGGTTATAAAAATGGATTTATGTTGGAGGGAGAACAGCATGTTCTATGTTCACATGTAACAAACTACACTTTATTGTGGTTCCTGAGCAAAGTCAGCTTCTCCATGCCCTCTGGGGTGGTGTGAGAGGGGGAAGGTGGAATCTGAATGGGAAAAATTCTTCATGGTGGGGGAGAGCTGCTAGCCTCTGATGCCTGCTGCTGTCACATCTCAAACTTCTCCAGAAGACTTAAGCATAGAAAGCTAATGAACTTAGGCCGGGCATGGTGGCTCATACCTATAATCCCAGCACTTTGGGAGGCTGAGGCGGGCAGATCACTTGAGCTCAGGAGTTTGAGACCAGCCTGGGCAACATGACGATACTCTCTCTCTCAAAGAAATACAAAAATTAGCTGAGTGTGGTGGCATGTACCTGTAGTCCCAGCTACTCAGGAGGCTGAAGCAGGAGGATAGATTCAGCCCAGGGGGCTGCAGTGAGCTGTGATCCTGCCACTGCACTCCAGCCTGGGAGGCAGAACATTACGCTGGTCTAAAAAGAAAAGAAAAGAAAAGCTAATGAACTTAGAAATAAAGTTTCTATTATAGAAAAACTTAATAGCTGTGATCAGTAATGACTCTGTCAATTTCAGGAAACTATAGCACAAAGAATTCTTGGTAAGAGGAGACCATAAAGGGAGATGAAAACTGTAGTGGGAGTCTTACAATGCCACAGTTTTGGTGATCTGATAGCCAAATGCCTTTCCTCTGATTGAATGAGTTGTGCACACAATAAATATGAGGAAGATCCTGGGCTAACTTGTAAAACAAGCTCAGATTAGCTGTGGCTATTAAAAAATCAATCATAGTTTTCACCAGAGAAGGGAGATAGTTCTGTCTGATTTTCAGATTGGTTGATTGCTCAAGTATCCTTTTTCATAAATGTATTCTTTCTCATTTTCTGATCAGTTTTGGTTGTGCAAAAAGAAAACAGTGGTTTTATTTCATGCCAGGAGAGATGTGGTTATTTTGTGGTATGTTTTACAAACTCTTTAAGATCACTTAGTTTCAAAATAAATACCCATGGTGAATTTGGTAGAGAGGAAGCAGTCATTCAGAAGACCAAGTCCACATACATACAAAAGACAGCAATTAAGAGGCCAAGGACAGGGTTGTTTTGAAAGGGTATTTAAAACTAGATGAAAGATATTTGGACCTTCAAAAATGCCCTAGAAACCGAATGAAAGCAACAGCCTTCTGTCTCTTATCAGAGCACTGACTCATAGACCTGTTATCGGAAGGACATTATTTAGTTGAAATATATATTTAAAAATACTTACATTCCTTTAAGTAGCTTATACTCTATGTGAAGATGTCTTTTAAGGATTCAGAAGCACAGGCAGAAGGATCTGTATAAATACAGAAGTGGGCTGGGCACAGTGGCTCACGCCTGTAATCCCAGCACTGTGGGAGGCTGAGGGGGCGGATCACCTGAGGTCGGGAGTTTGAGACCAGCCTGACCTACATGGAGAAACCTCGTCTCTACTAAAAATACAAAAAAAAAAAAATTAGCCAGGCGTGGTGGCGCATGCCTATAATCCCAGCTACTCAGGAGGCTGAGGCAGGAGAATTGCTTGGACCCAGGAAGTAGAGGTCGCAGTGAGCCAAGATTGCACCATTGCACTCCAGCCTGGGTGACAAGAGTGAAAGTCCATCTTGGAAAAAAAAAAGCACAACGTAGGTGGTACAAAACACGTGTATTAAAATGCCTAATTTAGAGGCCAGGCATGGAGGCTCATGCCTGTATTCCTGGCACTTTGGGAGGTCGAGGCAGGCAGATCACTTGAGTTCAGGAGTTTAAGACCAGCCCAGGCAACATGGCAAACCATGTCTCTATAAGATAACACAAAAAACTTGCTGGGCATGGTGGTGTGTGCCTGTAGCCCCAGCTACTTGGGAGGCTGAGGTGGGAGGATCACTTGAACTAGGAGGTGGAGGTTGCAGTGAGCTAAGATTGCACAACTGCACTCCAGCCTGGACAACAGAGACCATGTCTCAAAAAATAAAAATAAAATAAAATAAAATGCCTAATTCACACAATTCTTTTGAGAATTGGTGGAGCCCAGGATTTAGGTTGAAGGACTCTCTCTAATGAATGTGTCTCATATTAGATTAAGTTTGAAGTAGATGGCTGTTCATCTCTTGGACTGCTTAAGTAACATATGCAAGGAGAGCTAGGTTCACATCTGCCTTATGATTCCATAATAACCACCATAGCTACTATTGAGAGCTGACTATGTGTATAGGGGATTGTGCTGACAGCGGTCCAGACAACTCATTTCATTTTCTCTAGAACTCCGTGAGTGCATGTGAGGGACACTGGGATTCCTCACATTCTAGAAGGCTCTGATGAGCAGTCTGAGGTAGGAGGTAGGACTCTACTCCAGATGTGGAGTTTGGACACTGGAGTGGACACTGGACCAGATTAAGAACTAGCCAAAACAGGGCCTGGGCAAAAGTAGCTTTAATCAGACATGCTCACCAGTGTGCCATGTTGATTTACCACTGCCATGACAACACTCGACAGTTACTGTCCCTTTCCATGGCAGTGATCCAATGACCCAAGAGTTACCGCCCCTTCCCTAGAAATTTCTGCATAAACAGCTCCTTAATCTACATGCATTTATTTATTTATTTATTGAGACAGAGTCTTGCTCTATTGCCCAGGCTGAGGTGCAGTGACACGCGATCTCACCTCACTGCAACCTCTGCCTCCTGGGTTCAAGCAATTCTCCTGCCTCAGCCTCCCAAGTAGCTGGGATTACAGGTGCCAGCCACCATGCCTGGCGAGCAGATCATGAGGTCACGAATTTGAGACCAGCCTGGCCAACATGGTGAACCCCGTCTCTACTCAAAATAGAAAAATTAGTTGGGCATAGTGGCGCATGCCTGTAGTCCCAGCTACTGGGGAGGTTGAGGCATGAGAGTTGCTTGAACCCGGGAGGCAAAGGTTGCAGTGAGCCGAGATTGCGCCACTGCACTCCAGCCTGGCAACAGAGTGAGATCCCGTATCAAAAAAAAAAAGAGGGGGGGGGCGGGATATGAATATGGCTGCAAAACTACCCTGAGCTGCTACTCTCTCCCTATGGGGTAGCCCTGCTCTGCAGGAGCAGTCATGGAGCTGTAACACAGCCTATTCAGTATAACTGTTTTCTTCTACTTCTGACTTGCCTTTGAATTCCTTCCTGACAAAGCCAAGAACCCAGAGGGCTAAGCGCCACTTGGGAGCTTGCCTGTCTGGCATTATCTCCATTTCTGTTGTCACAATTATTGGGGATACCTGTAGTCCAGGAGCAACTTGGGGAATCTGGAAGCTTTCAAGTTTAGCAATGGGATATCAAAATGAACACAAAGCACATTTCCTCAGGGCAGCTTTCCCTACACACTCTCCTTCCCTCATGCCCTCCACCCCCAATTAAGTCAGATCTCTCTAAGTTCTCATAACAGTATACAAATCCTTTCTCTGCTCTCAGCAGTTCATAATTATGTATTTGGGTCTGCCTCCTTACTAGACAGTAAGCTCTATGAAGGTGAGACATTGTGTTTATTTTGCTTTATATTCCAGTAAATCCAGGGCCTGGTATATTCCGTATACACAATAAATATTTATTGCATATGTGAAAGTGGCATTTCTTTGTCTTTCTGTTGATATTCCTGACATAAACTCAAACAGATGTGAGACTGATGAGGGAGGAAATCATGGGAGTTCACAAGGTTCTGTGAGCAGGTGAAATGCCCTGGCCGGTATAGACTGGGTAAATAGGTGAGCCAGCTGCAAAGAATTTTATATATCAGAGGGGAAAAGACTTTCCTACTAAAAAGACAGGCATCTTTGACAAGTAGGTAATCTGAGTTTACTGTTTGATTTTTATTTTATTTTTTGAGACATGGTCTTGTACTGTCACCCAGGCTGGAGTGCAGCGCTGTGGTCATGGCTCACTGCAGCCTCAACCTCCCAGGCTCAGTTGATGCTCCTGCCTTAGCCTCCTGAGTAGCTGGGTGTACAGGCACATACCACCTCACCTGACTAATTTTTGTAGGTTTTTTTTTTTCCTTTTTTGGGTAGACACACAGTTTTGTCATGTTGCCCAGGCTGGTGGCTCAAGCCATCTGTCTGCCTCGGCCTCCCAAAGTGCTGGGATTATACACGTGAGCCACTGTGCCCAGCCGATTTTGTTTTTAGGTTTGAATTTTTTTTTATAGTTCTGTGTTTATTTGTTTTACTTTGATTTTGGAGCCAGACTTTTGCTCTGTCGCCCAAGCTGGAGTGCAGTGGTGCGATCTCAGCTCATTGCAACCTCTGCCTCCTGGGTGCAAGTGATTCTCATGCTTCAGCCTCCCAAGTACCTGCACAACCTCACCCAGCTAATTTTTGTATTTTTAGTAGAGACAGGGTTTCAACATGTTGTCCAGGCTGGTCTTGGATTCCTGGCCTCAAATGATCCTCCCACCTCAGCCTAGTTTTGTGTTTTATATTCTTTTCCCCACTCAGTTTGAAATGTCAAGAGGATAGACACATGTGTGAAGATAGACACATTATTAAGAGATGTTATCATCATGGGTTCTAAGAGAATGTTTTATGGAGAGTAGCTTTGCAAAGACTAAAGTCTCTGACAGATCATCAGGCATTAGATTCTCATAGGTTGGCAACCTAGATCCCTCACATGGGCATTTTACATTAGCACTGAGCATCTTTATTATGATAACTTTGGTTGAT